ATTAAGCACATGTTCTGGTTAAAAATTGATGTGTACAAAATCTCTGCAAAAGGATATAGCAATAATACATTAACCATCTCTTCCAACCTTAAGTTCAAAGCGAACTGTTGACCTAGTTACAATGTTGGGTCTCTGCCAGGGACAGCTTTTAGTAAAGGCTCCTGGAACAAATGATGTGGATTGTATTTCATGCACCCTTTATTTTCTACCATGTTAGGTTCAAGTCTTGGCTCTGTCTGGAACTAGGTATGAGGCCTTAGGTGTGTTACCTCCCTGAGGGTTCATACACTTGTGATCTGGTGGGGAGGGAGAGCACTCCTTACCTCAGGTGGGCCTAGGGAGGCCAAGCTGCAGAGAGCTGAGGCTAGAGGAGGCAGCCCTGGAGGAGGGCTTCTCTGAGGTTCCATGTGGCATTCATGTCCGCAGACCTCTGAAATGCCAGATTGTGGGCCTAGGCCTCAGCTCTCGCTGCTCAAGAGCTTGGTCCCAGCTATCAAGCTGCTCCAAACTCCCGGAACGTGGGGCCACATCAAGACTTCCTAGGGCCCTACATTCCAGAGAGATTCTGGTGCTCACCATCACCCCACAAGTCAGACAAAAGTAAAACAAGACTATAATGGAAATACCATAATGCAACCGAATTCTGATTTTTTTCATGATTGTTACTTGGATAGTGCTTTTGCAACATTACATATCACTATCTTTCTAAAATATTTTCTTTTTCCTCATTTAGTTTTTGGTGCCCTTGTTTGCTGTCATCTTCAGCACCTGCTGGGCCTCCTGTTGGAGAATCCAGGAGGCAAGTTGATACCTGTCTTAAGGCACCTTGAAAATCTTGCATTCTTGGTATCCGTGGGAGCGGAGCCCAATTCCTATCCGTGTGGGCAGGTGCTGATACCTTACTCGCACATGGCTGGAAAGGAGCCAGGTCTCAGAGCTGCGGAGCTGCGGCACCTTTCCTGGGTTCCTGTGGTGCATGGCGGGGGCAGGAAGTCTTGCAAGCTGCTGTGTGTGGGGTGAGGGTGTGACAAAGGGTGCTGGGGATGGGGACAGGGGGGATATGGAGAGGCTGAGCTGGGAGGAAAGCGAGCAGGGAGGGGCCTGTGGAAAATGCCACTTGCGTCATCCCTTGGGCTCTGGGAGAGGCAGCAAAATGTGGAACAAGCCCAGGTGCTTCCTGGTGTCTGGGTCTCAGAGGGGTTGCCTGAGGCGGTGGCTTGGTGGACTGGAGAGGTGGGGCTTGGCATTGGAGACAAAGAGCCCCTGGCTGGCCTCGGAATCTTTCTTCTGATGTCTCAATAGTGGCAGGAAAGCAGCATAGTTTACAAACATGCACTTTAGAGCCAGATTGTCCAGATCCACATCTGAGTTCCATGGTCACCAATTCCACCATCTTCAGAAAACCACTGAACGTTTCTGAGACATGAGTTGTTTCAAACTAGAAGGGTCAAAGAGGCCCCTCAGCCCAGCAACCTCATTTCATAGAGAATGCTGCTGAGGTCCCACTGGGGAATGAGCTCTCCAAAAGCTCCAGCTAGGAGGAGGCAGAGCTGGAGCCTGAACCTAGGACCTCTGACTCCTATCCAAGTACTTCGTTCAGTCCATCATTGTGAAATTGGGCATAAACAATCTCCACCCACTGATTCTCCCAATTTAACCATTCATTCCCCCAACCATCCATCATGTGTCCACAAATCACCAAATTCCTCCATTTCTCCATTCATAGAATCCATTCCTCTACCTGCCCATCCTCTACCTGCCCATCTATGATCCATCCATCCATCCATCCATCCATCCATCCATCCATCCATCTGCCCATTCCATCCTCTCTCTCTCCAGCTATTCCTTATTTACCCGTCTGTCATCCATCTATCCATTTATGCATCCACCTATCCTTCCATCCAACCACTACCATGCCCAGCAATCCAGGAGAATGACTATTGGGTACATAACCAACAGCTTGTCATAGGGTATGAGAATCCTTTTTTTTTTTTTGAGATGGCGTTTCACTCTTGTTGCCCAGGCTGGAGTGAAATGGCATGATCTCGGCTCACTGCAACCTCTACCTTCCAGGTTCAAGCAACTCTCCCACCTCAGCCTCCCGAGTAGCTGGGATTACAGGCGTGTGCCATCATGCCAGGCTAATTTTATATTTTTAGTCAAGACATGGTTTCTCCATGTTGGTCAGGCTGGTCTTGAACTCCAGACTTCAGGTAATCTGCGCTCCCAAAGTGCTGGGATTACAGGCGCGAGCCACCAGGCCCGGCCCAGAATCTCCAGTTACTATATTTAAATCATTTTGTCTCAATTCAGATCAGTGTTTACTAATTTGCTATTAAGTTCATAGTGTTTTAAGAACTGCTGGGTAGGGGTCAGGATTCAGAAAAAAAATAAAACATAAAATACTGTTTTCTAAAGAAATATGACTATTAATTGCAATTAGGGAATGTGGATTGCATCTTGGACTAGGAAAATAAAAGAGCTATCAAGCACAGTATTGGGGCAATTGATTAAATTTTAATATGGACTGTGAAATAGATAATAGTATATTGCTGGAATGTTTAATTTCCTGATTTTGATAACTGGGCTATGGTTATACAACAGTATGTTCTTTTTCTTAGGAAATTCCCACAGAAGTATTTAAGGATAAAAAGGCACATTATCTCCAATTTACTTGCAAATGATTTCAGAAAAAAGATATACATATATATGTACATATAATACAAACATTACAATGTATGATGTAAAATATATGTATATATTAAAATATATGATTATATAGTTATATATACATATATATTGTGTGTGTGTGTGTGTGTGTGTGTGTGTGTGTGTATATATAGAGAGAGAGAGAGAGAGAGAGAGTGAAAGGAAGAAAAATGGGTAAAAAGTAAGCAATTGGTGCATTTTGGTCAAAGATATAAGAGAGCTCCTTGTACTATTCTTGCAAATTTTCTACCTTTTTGAAATTTTATAAAATAAAAAGTTGGCCGGGTGTGATGGCTCACGCCTGTAATCCCAACACGTTGGGAGGCCGAGGCAGGTGGATCATTTGAGGTCAGGAGTTCGAGACCAGACTGGCTAACATGGTGAAACTCCGTCTCCACTAAAAATAGAAAAACTTAGCTGTGTGTGGTGGTGGGTGCCTGTAATCCCAGCTACTTGGGAGGCTGAGGCAGGAGAATCGCTTGATCCCGGGAGGTGGAGGTTGCAGGGAGCTGAGATCACGCCACTCCACCTCAGCCTGGGCGACAGAGTGAGACTTCATCTCAAAAAAAAAAGAAAAAAAAAGTCAATCTCCCAAATCCTGAGTCCCTTTCTCAGGAGTTTAAAATTAGAGGAGATACCCCTGGCAAGCCCAAATGCCTCCGAAGGTAAAGAGGACAGGACATACTAATCTGTGGTGTTTATGTCCCACCCCCATGCCCATCCCCACCCCCGGCTCCAGCAAGGTACACAGTGAAGGACTAGAGGGGAGAGGGTGGGAGACAGACCATGGGAGTGGGGCTGGGGGAAGTTTGTGGGGTGTGCTGGCGAGAGCTGCAGTGGGCGTGGCAAAGGACCTTCTGAGAAGTCAGGTAAGGGTCAAGAATTCCATTGTTTTTCAAGAATCAGAAAAGGATTGAAATGTAATTTTAAGTTACTTTTGGTTGCCAGACTATGAGTCTTGGAGTGCAAATTCATGCAAAGACTGGTTCATATGGAGCCTTGCATTTTATGCAGGTTACAAATATATAGCTCTTCTCCATCAATTAGTACTATCACAAAGATCCTTAGGGAATGAGCTGGTCAGAGAAGCTCTACCTCCAGCAGGAAGTGGAAAACTATTGGAAGCAGAGGTATAAGTGACAACTGGCTGGGCAGTGAGGAAGAAGAAGCCTTGTGAGTCCAGATGAGAAAGGGGAAAGGCATGGAGAAAACGAATATTTATGGTGCACTGTGCTAGGCTCATATACATACCTTCATGTCACTTAATCCACACAATATCCCTGCTAACTAATTATTATGAGCTCCATTTTACAGATAAGAAGACTGAGTCACAGAGAGATTGCCCAAGGTCATACTGCTAGTAAATAGCAGAACCAGGAATTGCATGATGCCAAAGACACCCATGCTACCCTGACTCAAGGAAGAACATGTCATGGGCAGGTGGTAGGGAGAGGTGAGACAGGGATGAGCCCAAGGGAAGGCCTTGGATGCCAGGAGCAAGAGCCCGGACTTCACCAACATAGATTCTAAGAAAACTGCTAGCAGATGAGGGTGCTGGTGGACATGGAATGTTAAGAAGAGGGGCCAGGGGTCATAATCTCACCCAGCCACCGCAGCAGCTGCCACCAAGACACCCACCTCTCAGAGAGCTGGGCTTGCAGACCCCTTCATCTGACGGATTCTCCTGAGAGGTAGGCACTGCTGCCTTCTCCATGGCACCAGGCACATTTAGATTCAGAGAGGGATGTGAATTCCATGTGGGCAGGCTCCAATTGTGACCTTGCCAGCTGCTGCTTCCTGTTCTCTCCTGACACAGGATGGGGGACAGCCCCCCCTCCTCCTTGCAGACTGGATGATTACTGAGCACACACCAGCTGCTCAGTGAGCCCAGCCTCCCTCTGCTTGGTGACTTGGACTGCAGCCTTGCCCACCTGACCAGCTCGGAGCCCAGACCAGGCCCTTCCCAGTGGGCAGAGGGCTGAGCTTGTGACACAGGGGCCCAGAGAAGGCCGAGGTCTGGCAGGAGGAGGGGAGCAGTGAGAGCCAGAAAAGAATCACTTGGGATTTCAGTAAAGTAGAAGGACGATTTTCCCAACTGGGCCAGGGCTCTGTCTTCTGTCTGCTGGAGGCAGATCACGATGAGGCCCTACAGGATGACTGAGCCACAGGAGGGAAGAAACCTGGGTCTCTGAGGACCATGTAGAAGACAGCTGACCCCCACCCTCAATACCTACCCTAGGAGTAGTGTAAGTGTGAGCAAGAAATGTGCTTCTGCTGCAGGGAGATGTTACCTGCGTGGGCCTGTTTGTTACAGCGGAATGCCTCCTCCGATATGCAGTCTGTGTCATCATGGGGTCATGCAAATAGCACCCAGCTCCTGACTCGAAAAATAAGCCACCCATTTGCTGTCATCTTGGACAGTCGCTTTGCTGAGACCCAATTTTCCCATCTGTGAGGAAAGAGAATCAGTTAGGTGATTTCCAAAAGTCCCTTCTGTTCTGTGATTCTGTTTTCTAAGAGGTGGACAGCAGTATTTGAGAATAAAAACCCAGCCAAATATTAGACAATATGTCTGACAGCATCCTGATGGATCGGATGCAAAGTGGAAGCTTGCAGGCTGCAGGTGGAGACGGGTCACAGCAGGCTGAGTAATGATGCTTAAGGAGTATTGATTAGGATGGATCAATAACAGCCCAGCAAGGAAGTCTCTAGCGATGTGCTACAGGACTTTTTTATTTTATTATTTCTTAAGATGGAGTCTCATTCTGTCACCAATGCTGTAGTGCAGTGGCACAATCATGGCTCACTGCTGCCTCAACCTCCTGGGCTCAAATGATCCTCCCACCTCAGCCTCCCAAGTAGCTGAGATGACAGGCACAGGCCAACACACCTGACAAATTTTTACAAATATTTTAGCAGAGACGGGGTCTCGCTGTGTTGCCCAGACTGGTCTCAAACTCCTAGGCTCAAGCGATCCTCCCACTTTGGCCTCCCAAAGTGCTGGGATTACAGGTGTGAGCCAGTGCTCCCAGCCCCACAGGGCTCTTTTAAAGTCAACAACTTGAATGAACATAAGGAAAAGAAGTTGAAATGTATACAAAACACAAAACTGAGAGGGCTAATGCACAAGTGGATGAGAGACCCATGGTTCAAAGCTGTCTTCATAAAGTAAGAGATTGGGATGAAGGTGACAAAGGCAAACAGAACCAAAGATGAATGCAAGTCCTGCAGAATTCAAGGGCTGGGGGAGCTTGTCTGGGCAACAGGCCTTAGCAGCAGGCTGTGCAAATGTGACCTGGGCATCTGTGTTGCCCACATGGATTCTTGTGAAGCCAGTACTGGGCCATGGCTACTGAAGCCACGGCATCTGAGGCTGCACTGAGCAGTCACACATGGGGTCCAAGGAGGGGAAAGAAGGTATCCATCCTAAATGGTCATCCCTGAGGTCCCCTGTGCAATGGAGGGGACCAGTGATGCTTTAGAACGAAAGTCAGAAATTTTCTGTAAAGATCAAGTAGTAAATGTTTTAAGCTTTGGGCCATACGGGTTCCCTTGTAACTGTTCCACTTGGCTTTTGTAGCTCAAAAGCAGCCACAGACAACAGTAAACAAATGTGTGTGGCTGTGCTCCAATAAAACTTTATTTACAAAAACAAGGGGTGGGCCAGATTTGGCCCTTGGGCTGTAGTTTGTCCTCCCTACTTTGGAAAAAAGAGCAGACATCAATGACTAGGGTGGCCAGGGTTCTGGAGGTGGAGGCCAGTGTGGATGGGTAAAAGAACTGGGTGGGGCTCAGTGGGGAGAGGTAGGCATGCCCCCTCACTGGCCTCGCATGGAGAGCCATGTGAGGGAAAGTGAGAAGGGGGCTTATTTTCATCCATGCCAGGGAAGACCTCATAAAACAACAAAGGAGTGATTCTACATTATCCGAGGCTAGGGATGGGGGAGCGGGGCCGGGTGATCTTCCACACCTTGGCCTCTGCCTCCTGGAATGGCCGTGTCTTCCCACCCTTCCCTGTCCCAGCACTAGGCTGGGACATTCTGCCTACATAGTGAGGCATGAATAACACCCTGGAGGCACAGCCGCAATCCCTTCAATGAGGAGGCTCCAGGAATCAAGGAGACATTTGTAGGGCTGGCTTGATGAGAGACTTCAGCAAGCCCTGCGAGGCTGGGGAGGCCTCTGGCTGCAGATTACCCTCCCCACCATATGGGTGATGGAAACCTGGCTCTTCAGGTGGGAGGCCTGGCCCAGGGCTGGCCTCTCAGAGCCTGGTTTGTGCCTTGGGGTTCCCCCCGGTCCAAATCGTGGCAGGTGGTTGGATGAGTTAATTTCTCTGGTCCTTTCCAGCATAGGCATCCTGGGACCAGGGAGCAGCCACCAATGACTACAGATGAAACACAAGCCTCCCCGGTCACTTTTTGCTGGCCGTTGGAAGGAGGCTGATGAGTGGGAGTGGAACCTCCAGGTTTCCTGGGGCACCATTCTCGATCCCCTCACCTCAGCTCTGTGAGGTCATGGCTAAGCCTGAAACAGGTCCCAATTCAATCTTGCCATAAACCTATGAAATGAGTGTCAGCCACAAGGCTTTGGTTGCAAATAACAGAAACCCCAACTCAACTGCCATATGGAAGCAGAGAAGCAACTGACTCTTTGCTGGAGGCTTATGGCAGGACTTCAAGTAGTGAGTTGGTGGCTGTTCAGGTCAAAGGATTCGCAACTCCCACTGACTTAAACAATGAAAAACTGCATCTATGATCTTAGCAACAACATTCAGTAACATTCAGTATCACCACGGAGGAGGACGCGGCCTCCCTGGTGATAGCTGATTGGACCAGGGGGAAGCTCCAGTCCCAGGGCAGCCAATCAGCAGTCTGGCAAGCAGCCAATGGGATGGCCTGGAGGGGGAGTTCTCCCCAGTCACGATACCAATAATTAAGAGGTCCATGCTGGAGCTCTGTCTTGGAGATTTGAGCCAGAGATTTGGAAGAAATGTGGGGCAATCTGTAGAAGGAGCAGAAGACAAAAATCACACTGAAGGCAGTGAGTGGAGGAGCTTGAGCTGCGGGATACAGAAGCCAGGAGGGAGTGAGGCACAGGCAGAGCCAGTCTGGCGAGGACTTAGCCATCTTTAAAGCCAGGAATGAAAGGTTCTCTGTCCCCAGAAGTGAAGCAGGACTTTCCCAGTCCCCAGTTTGTTCTGGTCTTTAGAAGCTGGTGAGTGGCCAGCCATGGAGGCCATGCCAAGTGACTGGCATGGCTGAGTTGCTATCCTAATCTGTGGCCTCCCATCCACCCCTCGCCTTCACCAAAGAGGCAGCAAGGAGGACAGTGAAGCCTGAAATTCTGAGGAATTTTCTTGCAGGGTTATGGTGTGGCATAAGCCAGGCTTCCTGGGCCAGGTTCTCTCTCTGCAGGGCATCCCTGGGGAATGTGTGAGTGCTAGGAGTGGTACCTAGGTCTCTAGGCCCCCTGGACTTTCCAGCGCCATCCCTAAACTAGGGAGCCTTTCCTGACCCTGAATGAGAGTGCTTTGGTCGGCCAAGGCCAGGGAATCAGCCCTAAAGCAGTGTTTCGGGAGGAATGGGCTGCCAGCCTCGCCCTCTGCCCTGGCCCAAACCAGGACTGTCAGTGTGGGGTGAGACAGAAGGAACAGAGAGTGGGGAGGCCCAATGGGGTCCCCAGAGTATGGGCCACCTGTGCCTCTTTTCTGCCTCCCACCCTCACCTGCATTTCACTGGGGGGCCCTGAGTTTCTCAAACAAGGGAGACCATCCAAATACCTTGTAACTGAGGGTGCAGTCGTTGGAGTCCCATCACACTCCCAAGTCCACCATCTACTGTGAGACAAGTCACCCAACCTCCCTGAGCCTCCATTTTTTCATCAGTGGAATGGGAGCGATCATAGTGCCTCCTACACAGAGCAGGGGAATTAAATGAGTCCCCACGTGTGAAGCACATGAACCTGTGCCTGGCACGTGGCACATGCGGACTAGCCACCTCCTGTAAGCAGGGGCTCAGGGAAGGGAGCCAGGAAAGAGGGATGTAGAGAGAACAGGAGGCAGAGAGAAATGCTAAAAGGAGAAGGAGGTGAGAAGGATATGAAGAGGCCAGAGAAGAAATGGGGCTCCCTGGGGTGCTGACCTTGACCTCTCAGGCCTGGCTCAGGTCTGTCTTTCTTGCTCTTTCTTCCCCCATGTAATCTGTGTCTGGAATGCTGAGAAATTCTGCTTCCACCCCCCAGCGGTTACCATGGTGATGAAAACCTGGACCCAGTGGAAAGTTCTCTGTGCTCTTGGCAACCAGACTGCAGCACCCTGCCTCCCCCTGCCTGCCTGTGCGTGGGCGGCCAGCTCCGGCTGCTGCCAGGATTTGGGGCCAGCACGGCCTCGCTGCAAGACCCAGCCCTGCCCCCATAGAATCTAGGATGGGAGCTTCGGCATGTCCGGTGCCAGGGGCCCTCAGAGAATATCTAGCCTGTCCCATTTTACTGATGGGACCCTGGGCCACAGAGGACTAGTGGCTTGTCCAAAGCCGCACAGACCCCCTGGGGTCTCCCTCCTGGGCTCGGCTGTGAGTCGGGTGGGCACGGAGCACCCGGGAACATCGCAGACAGGGGACTAGCCACATGGCAGGCCAGTCCCAGAAAGCAGGCCAGCCGCTGCAGCCAGGAGGATGCAGAAGACAAAGGGACTCCAGGAAGCTGGACACTGCCTTCCTCTTCTCTCCTAGACACAGTGGTGGATGGGTGCGAAGGACTGAATGCTTGTGTCCCTCCACAATTCACATGCAGAAACCCCAGTTCCCAGTGTGATGTTATTTGGGGTACAGCCTTTGGGGGTGATTAGGGCATGAGGGAGGGGCCCTCACAGTGGAATTAGTGCCCTTGTGAGAAGAGACAGGAGGGATAATCCCTCCACCACGTGGAGGTCACAAGCACCCAGAGAGAGGGCCCCTCGCAGCCCTACCATGCTGGTACTCTGATCTTGCAGACTTTAGAGCTGTGATAAATCCATACTTATTGTCAAAGCTGCCTTGTCCACAGTAATGAGTTACAGCATCCTGAGCTGACTCAGACAGTGAATTTGTTGGGGTGCTGAGTTTGCTCCACTTTCGGCAGCCCCAGCTCTCAGACTAAGTGGAAAGGCACAAGCCAGGCTTTTTTTTTTTTTTTTTTTTTTGAGACATAGTCTTGCTCTGTCGCCCACGCTGGAGTACAGTAGCGTGATCTCGGCTCACTGCAGCCTCCGCCTCCTGGGTTCAACCGATTCTCCTGCCTCAGCCTCCTACAGGTGCGCGCCACCATGCCCAGTTAATTTTTGTATTTTTAGTAGAGGTGGGGTTTCAGCATGTTGGCCAGGATGGTATCGATCTCCCGACCTCATGATCCACCTGCCTCAGCCTCCCAAAGTGCTGGCATTACAGGTGTGAGCCACTGCGCCCAGCCAAGCCAGCTTTTAGCAGCCTCCCTGCCAGGGTCCTGGCGGCCCCTATTTGATTCCCCTCCTCTTTTTCCTCCTCCTCAGCAGGCTGAATGTTGGTCCTGAAGATTGCTTCCAGCAGAGGACAACTGCCTCCCTTCAAGGTTGGTAGGTCCTTTACCAGCTCTCTCCCGCCTTTTGCCCACCCAACTCCTTCTGTGTTATTTTTCTTTTATGTACCCCACGTGCTATGGTCTGAATGTTTCATGTTGCCCCAAAGTTTGTATGTTGTCATCTAATCCCCACTGTGATGGTATTAGGAGGTGGGAGCTTTGGAGTCATCAGGCCAGACCCTCATGAATGGGATCAGTACCATGAAAGAGGAGCTGAAGAACTCCCTTACCTCTTCCACCATGTGAGGACACAGCAAGAAGACAGCTCTGTGAGCCAGGAAACAGGCCTTCACCAGGCACCAGAGCTGGTATCTCTAGTGCAGACGCCAGCACCTTGATCTTGGACCTTCCAGCCTCCAGAGTTTCTGTTGTTTATAAACCACTTGGTTTATGATATTTTACTATAGTAGGCTGAATGGACTAAGACACCATGTTTTCAAAACCTCTCTTCTTCTGTCTCTTCTTGAGTGAGGGCCTCACTCTGTTGCCCAGGCTGGAGTGCAATGGCACGATCATGGCTCACTGCAGCCTCAACCTCCCAGACTCAAGGGATCTTCCAGCCTCCCAAGTAGCTGGGATCACAGGTGCACACCACCACAACTGGCTAATTTTTCATATTTTTGTAGATATGGGATCTTGCCATGTTGCCCAGGCTGGTCTTGAATTCCTGGGTTCAATTAATCCACCTGCCTCGGCCTCCCAAAGTGCTGGGATTATAGGCATGAGCCACCACCCCCAGATGTCTCTTAAGCAAACAGCTTTATTGAGTAACAACACAATGGCCCATTTTTGATCATCAAAGCCCCACAGAACCCAGGCTTTGCCTGCCCCAGAGACACGGGACTCTTCAGGTTCTTATATGGTCATGTGATGGATATGTGGGACAGTTCCATAAGCTGAACACTGTCACTAGTGCAGGGCTTACTGTCCACATCCCTCAGAACCCTGCAGATGAAGGTTCCCAAGATGACATCAGTGGAATTTCCCGCAGGTCCCACAGGCCCACATTGGGATGGGATGTGGGTCGTCCCAGGAGCTCTGGCTATGGATCAGACTGAGGCTGGGCTGGGCCATATCATGCCTACCACAAACTTCCCACGGGACTCAACTGTTCAGACATTTTGGGAGTGTGAAAGGTCCTTGTGGTTCTTGCCAATAATCCAATTATTAGGAAGAAGGGGCCTCCCACCCTCTTTCTGATGATAAAACTTGGACAACAAAACTACTTACTGGGCACCAAGGGCTTTCCCTGGTGCCATCTCAGTGGTCCCAGAAGCTATGGCCCCCAAAATAGAGACTAAACTCATGGGTTCTAATTTTCCATGGAATATTGGAGTTGGGACATTTCCCTAGAGATGTTTTCATTACACAGGAGCATGAATTTGATCTAGAGATGGGAAGTGATGGCACAGCCAGGGGATGGCTACAATGTCCAGAGCCAAGTTCCATCTCTGTCAGTCCTGAACTATGTAATCATAGAAGAATCACATCACTCCCTGAGCCTCAGTCTCCAAATCTGTGAAATGGAGCTCAGATTATCAGCCACTATAATTCCTCCACCAGGTCATATACTTCTTTGGGGAAGGACTGTGCTTTTGTTGTCTTCCGTGTTTCTAACACAGAGGCTGCCAGAGTAGCCCAGGCTTAATCAAAGGGTAGGCACAGATTATGAGGGCGTTCTTTCCCCCAGACCATCCACCACACATTCATTTCATTCATGAATTCATTTTTCTGTTCAGCCAAAATTTAATGTCATCATCTACATGCTGGGGACACAACAGTGAGGGAAACGGACTGGGAGCTTACAGTTGACCGATGGGACCCAACAGGTGGTCACTGCACACTGGAATGTGGGACATATAGGACGCCTCCTGAACACGAAGAAGGAGACCTACCTCAGTTCTGCAGAGTCCGAGAAGACTTTCCCGAGAAGCTGACAACTCAGCTAAGACCTCAAAGATAAGATGGTTTAATGTAAGCCAGAAAAGCAGGTTTAGAGTTCCAGGAAGTGGAGAAGTAAAAGTATGACATGGAAAGGGAGGGGGGAGGGAGAGGAGCCTCTGGGACCACACAATCCCCACTTCCCCCGCCAGCTACTTCCCAAAGAAACCATCTCCCTCACCCTGAACAGGGACTAGTGGGGTTCAGGACCATGGAGAGCACCACAGTGCTCTTCCAGGCACCATTTTGGTCTTGCTAATCCTGAAGGGCCCCGCTCAGGTTAAAGCCTGAAGAGATGAAGGACAGGGTCTGGGGGTGCGGAAACCACCAGGCTGGGGACCAAGGAGGGAGAGTCCGGGGGCCAGCTGAGTCTGGGGAATCAACTGTCAGCTCTCCAACTAGATGAAGACTGTAGTCACAGACCCAAGGGGAGCCTGGTGAGTTACACTTAGGCCTGGGAGCCCAGGATCCCTGCTGGGCACAAGGAGAACAGCGGGATGATGGAGACAAGTGGTTCTCTACGGTCCCTGTTACCCAGGCTGGAGTGCAGTGGTATGCAGTTTCGACCTCCTGGGCTGCAGTGATCCTCCTGCCTCAACTTCCCAAGTATCTGGGACTACAGGCATGCACCACCACGCCTGGCTAGTTTTTGTATTTTTTGTAGAGACGGAGTTTTGCCATGTTGGTCAGACGGGTCTGGAACTCCTGGACTCAAGCGATCCACCCACCTCAGCCTCCCAAAGTGCTGGGATTCAGCAGCCCAGGGAACAGGCCCAGGGGATGAGCTGCTGCAGTGGGGTCTGTGGTAGGTTTCCCTGTCTCCCAACCCTCAGCAAGAAGAGTCTTGATCCAACCCTGTCCAGAGTCCAGCTGAGGCCTCCAGACAGACCCCACTCCAGCCACATGAAGGCCCCTGTCAAAGAAGGGGCAGGTTGGGGGAAAAGCAGAAAAAATGTCCCCCAATCCAAACTCCTGGATCCCTCCATGAGAGAGAGGTTTCCCCTCTTCTCTTCCTGGAAGAGAAGCGCTTATCCTCAGGCCCAAGACCACCAGCAGAATCCATAGCCTTTCCTGGTAGAGTTGGCAGCTCTGAGGTACCACTGCTCCTCTGGCCTGTAGCCCCTCTCCCCTGCCCTCCCCTCCCCTTCTTTCCCTTCCACTGCGCTCCACACCCCACATGTTACTCTCCCAGCTCTGGGCAGCCAGGCCCTCCCCTCTTGCCTCCTGGTCTTCTCTATTCTGCTGGTTCCAACCCATCCCCTGGCTCAGCCCACTGTCCCCCACGTTGCTCCTACTGCACACCCTCTGCCTCCTCATCTTCCCCTCCCCTATCTAGGCTTGGTGGGCTCAGGCACCCCAGGCCCTTCTTAGCAAAGCCGTCTCTCTTAGGTGCAGTGGTCCTACCTCCCAACCCCATCACTGCCCTCCACCCCACATTAACTGTAATTCTGTAAGAAGAATGACTTGTTGGTTTAATAAATCTCTAGTTATTGTAATAATAATTTAAAAAACACACACAAAGTGTTGGGATTGCAGGTGTGAGTCACCATGCCTGGTCCAGACTTCTTTTTCTTTTAGAGATGGGGTCTCACTCTGTCACCCAGGCTGGAGGGCAGTGATGTCATCATAGATAACCACAGCCTCCAGTTCCTGGGCTCAAGCAATCCTTCTGAGTCAGCCTCCTGAGTAGCTGGGACTACAGGCACACACCACCACACCCAGCTAATTAAAACTTTTTTTGTACAGACAGGATCTTGCTATGTTGCCCAGGCTGACCTCAAACTCCTAGCCTCAAGCAATCCTCCTGCCTTGGCTTCCCAGCTAGTTCTCTACTGTTTAAAATCAGAAGCCCTTTGGTAATCTGATGAATGATAAATAATACATTTAGAAATTTAACATAATAAGGCCAGGCATGTTTGCTCATGCCTGTAATCCGAGCACTTTGGGAGGTCTAGGCAGGCAGATCGCTTGAGCCCAGGAGTTTGAGACTAGCTTAGGCAACATGGCAAAACCCATCTCTACTAAAAATACAAAATTTAGCCAGGCATGGTGGCGCATGCCTGTTGTTCCAGCTACTTGGGAGGCTGAGGCAGGAGGATCACCTAAGCCTCGGGAGGTCAAGGTTTCAGTGAGTGGTGGTTGCACTACACTCCAGCCTGGGCAACAGAGTGAGAAAGAAACTTAACAAGTAAGTAAATGTATGGCGTGGTATGTCAGAAATCGATAAATGCTGTGGGAGAAAAGAAAAACTTTCTCCCCCTGAAAAACAAGTGATCTCTGGAATTATACCAACAAAGTTGGTTTTAGCCCTCCTGAGCCTTCCATGGATACATCTCAGAACCAGTGCCCCTCCAGGTTATGACCCACTCTATGTGGGAGTGGGGAAGAGGGAAAAAGGGACTGGGCTGAGTCTGCCTGGACCCCCAAGCCAGGTGTAGGGGGACCTCTGCCCCGACCAGTAGCAAGGAGCATCCCCAGGCCCCTGGCTCCTGACTTGCAGCCCCTCCCTCGCCACTGTATTTACCAATTGAGCAACTAGACTGTATCAGTCACAAGATAACTAAAGATGCTGAAGGGGATCAGGATGCTGGAGGTGATATTAGGATGCTGGAGCTGATATTAGGATGCTAGAGGTGGATAGGATGCTGGAGGAGATTAGGATACTGGAGGTGATTAGGATGCATCAGTCAGCAGAAGTAAAGTCAATGCCCCCAGACAGTTCATATCCTAGTGGGTGCAGACAGATAATAATGAACAAAGTAATTTAAATTATATAGTACATTAAAAGTGGTTAGTGCTGTGGGAAAAACAGAAAAAGCTTAGCAGGGAAAAGGGATGGGGAGTGCGGGGATGGGCTTGGGTAATGTGTTGGGGGTCAGGAGGCTACAATTTTTTAAACGGAGGTCAGAGTAGGCCTCACTGAGAAAGTGACCCCTGAGCAAAGACTCAAAGGGGCTGAGGGGCTTGGCCATGAAGATGGGGGGAGCAGGGCTTCAGGCAGAGGGGACAGCCAGTGCGAAGGCCAGGAGGAGGGGAATGTGGCTGGCACAGAGGAGGACCCAGCACAGGAGGTGTGGTTGGGAGGAGGTGAGGGGGCAAGGGGGCCGAGCCATGGGGAGCCCTCATACAGACTGGCTTCTGCTCGGTGTTGTGGCAGGGTTAGAGCAGAGGAAGAACATGATCTGACTTGTGGCGAGAATGGATTGTGGAGGAAAGGGGATTGGTTAGGAGGCTCTAGCAGTTACCCAGATGAGAGGTGACAGTGGCTTGGACCAGGGTGATGGCCAGGGCCGTGGAGAGACACGTCAGACTTGGGATAGATTCCTAGGGTAGGGACAGCAGGATGTGTGGATGGATCAGAATGGAAGACAGAGGAGACTGAAGGACGACTTGGAAGTCTTGGTCTGAGCTACTGGAAGCATGGAGTTGCCATTCCCAGAGATGGGGAGACTCCAGAAGGGGCAGTTTGGGGGACAGAATGGGAGTTGGATTTGGATGTGTTCTGTCTGAAGTGCCCACTGGACATCCCAGGGAGACACTGAGGAGGGATTTGGAAACAGGATTCTGAATTTCACAGCCCAGAGTGGCTCAAATGGGACTAGCCCTTAGAAAGCCACCTGAAGCCAAGGCCCGTCAGAGCTGGGACATTCTCCACCCCATTTGTGTCACTGCCTGCATGCATCCAGGGTGGGTCACCACTGTCTTCCCAGGCAGCTGAAAGAAGGATAGATATTGAGTGGAAGGATAGAAGGATAAAGGATGGATGGATGGATGGATGGATGGATGGATGGAAACAATGGGCATTAGACTGGAGGGAAGGAAGGATGGAAAAATGAAAGAAAGGAAGGAGGAAAAGGTGAATAAATGAAATGATAGTTGGATTCTATTAGTCTATTTGTGTGCCTGGACAGCCCTGACTGAGGCATTCTTCCTACACTGAAGGGACTTCTGTACCAGGGGCCTCAGGGCCATAAGGAGAAACGCACAAGGAGAAATGTTGCAGCCTCAGAGAATGAGAAGCAGAGAGGAGATAGGAAGTTCCCAGTGCCTGGCTGGAATCCTCAGTGAGACCAGGGGTCCCCAACACACCCAGAGCTTCCCAACAAATGCCCCCTGTCTCTTAAGCTGGCCCCAGGGGCTTCTGCTACTGCTACCAGAGACCCCTGCCCGGACAAGCCACATACAGACGGAGAAACCATGAGGATTCCAAGAGACAATGCATCAAATGCTTCGCCCAGTGCCAGGTGCAGAGAAAGTGCTAGATGCAACAAGATAATCACCTGGACCCTGCAAGCATCCAGGAGGGCACTGGTGGAGAAGGAGACCCTTGAGTTAAGTCCTAAGAGATGGGCAAGAGTTAACCTAAGAGGAAGAGATGGGGAAAGGAATTTCAAGAACTCCCCTCCAGCCCCCAGGTCTCCAAGCCATCTCGTCTTCATACTGAGCATGTCCAGCTCCTGCCAGCCCCTCTCCCTTAGCCAGTGGTCCTGCCCTTCTTTAAAAGATAGTGCCTGGGGCAGAGTCTTGTGAGGGGACATAGCCCAGCAATAGCCGTAGAGACTATTGTGTGTCTCTACGGAGCTGTGTGACGTTGAGCAAGGTACTGAACTCCTCTGTGCTTCGCTTTCCTATCTACAGACGAGGGGTTGGTAACAGGACCTGCTTTGTTGACTTGTGTGAAGATTAAGTGAGCTCATGCCTGGATCATGCCTGGAAAGACTTCAGACATGGTGGGCTCAGGGAATGTGAGCATTGGTGGTAACAGCGGGGGCCTGGGTGCAGGACTGGCCTCAGCTTCGGCTCAGCTGAGCAAACCCTGGCAGGTCTGCCCCAGCTCACAAGCCTCGTCCAGTCCATGAGCCCAGGCGGCTCTGCTTTATGGAGAAAGACACGGAGGCAGCTCAGAGTGGCCAAATAACATGTCTCAGACCCCACTGCCGGCCCAGGGCAAACTCAGCCAGAGATCCAGGGTCTCGCTCAGCAGACAAGCAGTGGCCAAGGAATCGAGTGAGGGTGTGGTTGGAACCTAAGTT